TAATGAAAAAGTAAAGGTAGTTTTATAGTGATATGATTATTTATAAAAATGAGACTATTGTTTTAGAGCGGATAAAAATGGTAAATAAGACTATTGTATTGAGACGGATGATTAGTATTTTATTATATTATTAGTATTAGGTAAAATTGCTTATAACTCCCATGTGGTTTCGAAATTCAGCGTAAAATTTCCCTATACTTTAAAAATTGCATGGTACCCCTTATAGTTTAAAAAACGTTGCATGAAACCCCACCACCATGAAACTTTTCTCGTGTGATAAGAAGATGATTTCCTATCTATATGTTTTGCATGGCAGGGGATTTTATGCAATATTTTTTAAAGTATAAGTGAACGTCATGCAATTTTTTAAAGTAAAATGGAGATTTATGCTGAGTTTCGAAACCACAAAGTGGTTTCATGCAATATTTTTTAAAATATAAGGGGACGTCATGCAATTTTTAAAGTATAGGGGGAATTTACGCTAATTTCAAAATAACAAGGGAGTTATGAACAATTTTGCCTTAATATTATTTAAAAATAGAGAAATACGGGAAGGACCATTCAGATAATATTTTATTTATATATTTATATTAAATCAATTTTATTGAGTACACAACATTGATATACGGCAAGTTCAAATGTCGACACGTGTCCTATAATTAAAAGTGTCTTTTATATATATCCTGAGAAAGGCATTGAGAATGCAGGAGGTCCTATGGCAGATCAAGCCTTTGACCGAGTGGGGCCCACGCATAATCAATGGTACATCTTATAATGGGACCGCTGGTCCCGGGACCTTAATTTCTCGTGAACCCATTAATCAATGAACCCTTATAAATATCTATCAATAAGTCAAAATAATTTCATTACAATTATTAATTAACACTGCCAAAATTTTCCAAGTCTGAGTTTGGTAAAACAGTACCAGCCTTTAAGCACCACAAAATAGGAAATTAAAATAAAACATAAAGAAATAATAAAAAAAAAAAACCTTTTTAAATTCCTTAAATAAATAATGCAAAAGGAAAATTTAAAACCATTGACATATTGGGTGTATTTGTGTGTGAGTTTTAGTTTTGGGGTTTGAATTTTTGAATAGTTGTTTGATGCAATATAAATAAATGTTGATGTCATGAAGGTAAAATAAATTTGTAATATAATATATATAAAAAAAGTAATTATTTGATATGATATTTTTAGAGAAAAAAAAATTAAATAGTAAAAACATCTGATAAAATTCACAAAAGAAAGTTTTTCTTTTATTTAATTAAATATTATTCACTTTGCACCCCATAAAGAATAATCTCAAGGGAGTAGGAATAAATTTGTGATCATAAAGTGCCTATTATGCATGGTTCATCTAGGGCCTTGCCATCCTAGTTTTTGCGGATTTTTATGTTATAAAAAATACTACTTTCATCTCGTGTAAGGGTCTCATTTACTTTTTTCGTATTAATATTTTAATATTAATTATTATATAAAAATATAGTACAAATTAAAGGAAAATGACTAAAATAATTCTATTAGTATCTTGTAATACTATTCTAATGATATTTTTGCAAAAAAAATATATATATAAATATAATGATATTTTTAATATTAAGTACAATGACTCAAAAAGTAAATGAGATCCTTAGAGCCAGACGGAGGGAGTACTTCATTCGTCCCCAATATTTAGTTCATTTGGGGTCGACACAAAAATTTAAAGAAAATAAGTATTTTATTTGTTGTGTTTTTATATACGTAATCAGTCAAGCAACAAAGAAAACATCAACTAGAATGTGTCCAACAAAATTGAAATCAAAAGACACCAGACTTTCTGAAAATCAATTTAAGAACACAATCGACAAAAATCAGGATCCAAAATTGGACAAGGCAGAACTTGAACTTCCCTCTTTCGATAGACAGCAGCTCCGGCGACTTCCTCATCTTCCGGCGATTTCCAAGCAATTTGACAAACGATAGGGGAATCTATTTTTACAGCTCAGTTTACAACCTAATGACTCACACTTAGGGACTAACCCAACCGCCTCCAAACAAAACCCCAAACCAACGGACTCGATCAACCCTAAACTCTAATAAACCGATTTCCCCCGAAACCTCACAAAGAACACCCAGATGAACAACTTATCAAAGGAATCGAACTAGAGCGACTGCAATTTCGGCGAAGAAGAAACCCCAACCTTACCGAGAAGAATGCGAATAAGATGAACCAGTGGGAGATAAAAAAAAACCAGACTAATTAATCACGCAATACACTCTGTCCCAAATGAGAAAGGGGAAGGGGGAGTTATAAGGGTGCGGGTCGGTTCGGGTCAGGTCGGGTTAAAGGGTTTTGGATTACGGGTTGGGCTTGGTATTGGGTTGGACCAAAATATATCTAATATTCTCTGCCTTTTTGGCCAAGTTATTTACCGATGGTTGCTCCTGTAGGGATGCATCACAGCCTAGTAATTAAATCTAATTCCTTGCTTTTTAAACCATTTATTACTATATCTAATATAATGTTATTATTAAAAATGAAAAAAATAAAAAGGTTGTTGGATATTTTTTTAGAAATTTAGTTAGTAATTAAAGAGATTAAAAAGAGAGAATATAATAAATTTAATGATATTTGTTGTAAATTTGTTATAAATAAATGTTGAATGAATTATAATAATTAAATATTAACTCCTCTGACTTTTCCAAATAAAATAATAAAATAATTTAACGGACAAAAAACAAATTAAAAAAATTTTGACAAAAAAAAAATATATTGCATTAAAATATTATTTAAATAAAAATTCAAATTAATAGTACATTTCAAACAACAACAAAAATAAGCCGACATATTTCTAATAGTTTTGTCATTATTAATTAATATTTATTAAAAATTTAAAACATCACATTTATTATTTATTTAGGTCACATTAATTATTAAAATTTTTAATATTTTAAAAACTCTTCAAAATTCTAAAATTTGGAAGTTTGATTTATTTAAGGATGACTCGTACTATTCATAAAATTATTTATAAAAAATCATAAAGTTAAGCATATACTAACTTTTATTTATATATTATAAAAAAATAATAATTTTACATTTAAAATATTATACTTTTTTGTCCAACTTAAATAATTTTATTTTTCATTTATGATTGTATCACCTAAATAATATATTTTTCATTTATAATTTGTGGTCTCATTCACTTATCAATTTACTATTATTTTTTTTTTATTTACTTAAATATCGTCGTACAATATACATAAACATAAGTATATTATTGATACTTTTTTTTTACACAAACTCACTCGTCAATATAATATTATTTTTTTAATTTATTATAAATTTCTTGGAAGACTATTCAAGTACAGTGAAAAGTAATATGAAATATATACTTGTATCATACTTTCTCAATCCGCCTTAAAGGGTTACATTTACCTTTACTTTTTGTGTTATTGTATTTGATATTAAAAATATCATTATATTTGTATAATTTTTTATACAAATTTCTTTCTAGTGGTATTATAAGACATTAATTAAAATATTTTTGTAATTTTTTGTTAATTTATACTACGTTTTAATATAATAATTAATATTTAAATATCAACACGTAAAAACTAAATGAGATTTTTAGAGCTAGCAGATATAATATTAAATAATCTTTTGATTTAATTGTTTATTATTTTGAAATCTAAAACTCAAATCTAAAATTTAAAAGAAGACAAATTGAGTGTGTTTACTTGAAGATTTTGATTTTACCTTATGGTTCTTAATACTAAACTTTTGAATTGAAATACTTATTTGATGTGATATTTATAATATAAAATTTAATTTTAATATAATATAATAAATTAAAAAATAAGTGTCTGATTTGATATTTTATATAAAAAAAATATATTAAAATAGTAAAATCGAAAATAAAATCTCACAGGTAAACACACCCATTATTTTATCTCACCAAAACCTAACTTGAAAGTATTTTGATATTTTGAGTTAATTTGATGACAGTACACTAAAAAAACAAATTCCTTGATTGTGATGTTTTATGTGATAAAATAATTATTATTTATAAAGAATCACAATGGTTGAATAATAAATTCAATAAAAATATTAAAATCAAATTCTAAAAGAATATATATTTTAAGTAATTTTTACTATTATATATATTAAAAAAAGAAGCAAACATATATAGATATTTTTTTTTTGCAAAATAAAAATATATGAAGGTCGAATGATATTATATAAATATTTAAGGTTTTGTTTACTCGTAAGATTTTATTATTGATTTTACTATTTTAATTTTTTTTTTCTAAAACATCAAATTAAATATATATTATTTATTTATTTTATTACATTAAAATCAAATTTTACATTCAAAATATAATATTAATATATATTTATGACACATCAAATGCCTATTCTAATTCAAAACTTTAATGTTAAAAATCAAAGTACAAAACCAATACTTCACAAGTAAATGTACAATACTTTTATACTTAACCTTAATATAACATAATAAAATCAAACAATGGCACCAATAAATTATCATCACTCCTAACAAAAATTGGGAAGACACAACAAAAGTATATTCGTTAAGTTGGAAGCTCCCGCCCTACCAACACCACCAGAACTCCCCAACCTTACAACGGTGGAGATCCATCTGGACTTGAAGTCCATGGACTCGGCAACAACAGCCACTCTCAATTATTGCTTTTTTGTAAATTCTGTCCCTTGTAAGAAGCACATGCTCCCCAAATCCCCCCAAACCCGACATGCTCCCCAAATCCCCACTCAAGTGCCATTTTCACCAACTCCTGGGACTCCAGCACCCATCACCATCCGCACCCAAATAAACGCTGCAGATGACTTAGGACCTCCGATCCAAGGACTCCCCGAGAAAACAACCGTACTCGCAACCTTTCTACGGTGCAAAATCTTCTCCCCCCTTTAAAGCTGACAGATTCTTTTCTCTCTCATTTCCCATAAAGCCTTCTCTCTCTCTTTCTCTAACGCTTTCTCTCTCTACGTCTGTTGTCTGATCGCAGCAGTTCAGTTTTTTTCTTTCTTTCTTTCTCTGTGATCATCAGAAACAATGTTGGACTACGAATGGGGAAGCCCTTCTTCCATGGTGCTCACAAGCGACCATCTTCAAGAACCGAACCGCCCGGTTTTACACCCCTACGCCCAAACCGGTTACGCCTTCAGCCCGGTCGAGGCGCACTTCGCCGCCGCCGCCGCCGGTCAGGATCTGCAGATGAACCAGAACGTCAACGTACAGCATTTCGCCGGTTTTCCTGGACCGGCGTCGTCGTACTACCCGCAACCGGCCTCGATGCTGTCCCTCGAACCGGCCGGTTTTGTAATGGCGCCGAAGACCGAGCCGGGGTTTGAGTTTAACGGCCGGATCGGACTGGACTTGGGCGGGAGGACTTACTTCGCCTCGTCGGCGGATGGGGAGTTTGTGAACCGGGTTTACCTCCGGTCGAGAGGGGTTGAACCCGGTTCGGTTAATGTTCCCCGGTGCCAGGTGGAGGGCTGCTCCGCCGACCTCAGCCACGCCAAGCACTACCACCGGCGGCATAAGGTCTGCGAGTTCCACTCCAAAGCCGCCACCGTCGTCGCCGCCGGTCTGACCCAGCGGTTCTGCCAGCAGTGCAGCAGGTTGTGAAATTACTTAATGCCCCCCTTTGTGAAAAGCCGGTAATGCCCTTCTTGGGGTTTGTGGCGAAACCAATGATTGGGGGCGATCCCGAGGGCACTTATGTCCCTGTAATTTTCAGATTTTTTGAGACTCAAGTGTTCTTCACTTCCTATTAAATCTAAACCGACCACGTGTCGATCGTGGAAGTACATATTCACCAGGAGTTGAACTCCCGGAACTTCTTGAAACAACTTTTCTTTTTTCACATCTCACAAATTAATTTTCTCTTTTTTTTTTTTTTTTTTTTTCAGATTCCATCTCCTGTCGGAATTCGACAACGGGAAGAGGAGCTGCCGGAGAAGACTCGCCGACCACAACCGCCGGCGCCGGAAATCGCACCAAACAAATCAAGACACGATCAAATCTCAAATTATCAGCAACAGTCCCGCCGAAGCAACACAAAGTACAAAATATTTTTCTTACCAAATTTTGAAAAGATACACTTTTTCCTCTAACCCTAACTGACTTTAAAAATCTGCTCAACAGGGCCGCCGCCGCCGCTTGCGCCGCCGACGGCGGCGGCGCCGTTCACCGGGTCGTCTATTGTGACGGTGGCGATTTCGCCGGCGAGATCTTCAGCGGAGTGCTCTTACAACGGCGGCTGCAGCTCCGGGGAGCCGACAAGTTCGCTTTTTTATTAAGTTATTATTAATAATTAAATCAAATCAAAATTAAATTAAATTAAATTAAATAGGGATATGATGTGTTGTCTGGATGATGATGATGATGATGATGATGACGACCTTATTACATAACTACTTACTTACATCAATTGTACGTGCTGGATGATCGATGAGTTATTAGTTAATTAATTAATTAGATAATGTGATTATATAATGAGATTGTCGTCACTCTCACTCTGAAATATCAAATTCTCGATCGATCAGTTTGTTGTTGTACGAGTAACAAGAAATGGATATATTGATCGAAAAATAAATAAATATATATATATATATATATATATATTTATGTGCATTCGATTCCATGGAGGATGTAACAATAATAAGTGTTAGTTTGTTGCATGCAAAGGGTAAGAGCAAGAGTGTTGGGTGTTGAATGGCGATTGGTGAGATTAATTGGTGAAATGATTCATGGCTTTTGCATTCTATTTTTGGTTCTTGCATTATTCTCTTTTGTCTTTTCTCCCGCTCTTTCTCTCTAGTGGTTAGTGTGCTGATTAAGCGACGACGTCTAGCCGATAAAATTATGTAGATTTGATTGGACATAAGGATTAAGAAAAAAAAAAAAAAAGAAAAAAATTTAGACGGCAATATCTGTTTTTATTAGCGTATAGCTAAAATGAAAAATAATACTTCTTTCGTCATTGAATTTCTATAAAATTTGTAGAATTTTTATACGATTTTTTTTTTTTTTATAGTAAACAATGAATAAAATGATAAAAGGTTGTATGAATTTTTTCTAGAAAAGAAAACAAAAACCTAATTATTTATATGAAAGACAAAAAAGAAATGTGAATTTATATATTTTTCCGACGACAGATGAAGTATGTGTTTTGTGGATTACTACAGCTTGCTATCACTTCATACTCGTCGTCATAGCTCTAGAACAATACATGAAAGGAAATCTCTACCATTGTAGAGTTGACTAAATTGTGTATTTTTCATACGAAAAAATATTCTTTTGACTTAAAAAAATCGATATGTTTGCATGTTCAAATGTCACCGGCATCTTGGTATGACTATGGAAGCATTAGAAGCGTGATATGTGATCGTTAATGACCTTGAGCTACTTAATTAGACGTAGATTTTGGGTGTGTTTGTTTGGAGGATTTTTCCCAAACTTTACTATTTATTCCAGAAATATTAAATCAAACACCTATTTTTTATTTTTTATATTATACTAAAAATTAATTTTACATTCAAAACATCACATCAAAAAGTATTTTGTGTTCTTTCAAACGATTCGCTCAACTCTTCATGTATAAAAGATGCTCTAAATTTTTTAATGTGAGTAGAAAGTATACGTGACAAAAAAGAGATACGAGGTCCAACAAAAAAAAATAACCAAGATGTAAGTCAATTCATTGTATAATGTGTTGTAAAAAAGAAGATCTGAAAGGATAGTTCTTGCGGATATTTGTTGGTGTTTACTGTTGGGTATTTAATTAAATAAGTGAAAGAGGAATAAATTATATGTCCCACATTTTATTTGATTAATTTATTTTATTTGAAAAATAAATAAATAAATAAATAATCAAATAAATAATTTATTGCAATTGAATGCAACGTGCTGGACAATTTTTTTTTTCTCTACACGTGATTAAATACAAAATAATCTAAAAAAATATAATATATATTATATTTTCCTCTTTTTTTTTAAAAAAAAATATATACCGAAAACCTCTTCCTTCTAAATTTTTAGATAATTCTCAGCAAATTTGCTTCCAAAAGTTCTCTATTTCGGTTGCGGAATCTGTCATTCCGTTATAATTCGTTCTATCCTAGGAGGTGATCGGTGGAGAGCCGAATTCGCTTCAAGGAAATCGCGTGCTATGCGAAGCTCGAATTTAATTTCGCATCTGTTTGATTTTGTATTTTCGAATTTAATTTCGCATCTATTTGATTTTGTATTTTCGAATTTAGCCGTATCTCATATTTCACGAAAGTATTTTCCAACATTTACTTCATATATAATGTGGTGATAGGTTTGTAGTGAATATTTCCTAAATTTCTTTCAAATGTAAGTTTTATACTTGTCAACAAACAAAGTGTGTCTTTTGTAGTTTACTCTATTGTTTGTGTATATTTTGTTGGCATAGTGTTTTTATAACCACAAAACAAGAACAGATTAAAATTATGTTCATCTATTTTTCTTTCATAAATTTATGTTTTTCAATCATAGGAGATAATCAAAATGTAAGTTAGTTCTTTGTATAATTGTTGTAAAAGATAATGTCTGAAAGAATAGTTCTTGTTAAATATTAGAGGGTATTTAGTTCATGTGTAACGTGATGATAAGTAGGAGTAGGTACGGTTCGGATATTTGCAAACATGCAGGTATTTGATATCTGAACCGAATCGAACAAATACCCGAAATTGTGAACCATATTCGAACCGAAAATTTCGGTTAACCGAAAATATTTGCAAATAATTCGAACCGAACCGAAATTAAAAAATAATATATTAAAAATAATTAAAATTCTAATTAAATCAAAATATTTGCAAATACTTCAAATATCCGAACCGAAACCGAATCGAATATAATTATTAATATAAATTTTAAATTATAATAACATAAATATATTCGATTCGGTTAACCGAACCGAAAAAAATATAAAAAACCGAAACCGAACTGAACCGGGCAAATATCAAATATGCAGTATTTGTTTTCAAATCGAATTTGCTCGGTTAACCGAAAATTCGATTCAATTTGATTCGGTTTAATGGTTTGACGGTTCGATTCGATTTTTTTGCCCACCCCTAATGATAAGTTTGTAGTGAACATTTCCTAAATTAAAAATATTCCAAATGTAGGTTTTATATTAGTCAACAAACATAATGTGTATTTTATTGTTTACTATATTGTTTGTGTATACTTGGTTGATATACTATTTTTATAACCATATAACAACCATTCATCTATTGTGCTTTCATAAATTTGTGATTTTCAACCGTAGAAGATAATCAAGATGCAAGTTAGTTCATGTTAGATAATCGGTTATTTAATCGGTAGAATTTAATATTAAAAAATGAAATTCTTAATTTACGCAACCGATTAATCGGTGAGTGAAAATACGACGGGCCGGTGAACCGAATGAATTGGATTAATTTGGATGATATAATAAATATTATTTATTTATTATATATGAGACTTCGTTAATATTTTAGCTATTTTGCCTATCTCGAGACAAATTAAATTGTGTAGCTCTAAGTTAAACTCATGTATATGACCTAAGTCACAATATTATAAAATCTTATCCGTTTGATGAATTTATTATAATCTCAAACAGAATGATTGAAATTAGAATAAACTATATATAATAGTTTCAAACGGAATGTTTGAAATTATAATAAATTACGATCATCTAAAATGGAAGAATTGAAATTATAATCAATTACGACCAACTCAAACGGAAGATTTGAAATTAGAATACATTACATTGGTAATTAAGGTCATAATTACGATCGTAATTAATCCTCTGTCATTTTGGCATAGTGGAAACATACCAACAACATCATCTCCTTATCTTCTCCTCTCTTTTAGCTTTTTGGCAATCTCTCTAGCTCAGTTCCTCCATCCTATTTGTTCACCGGAGCTCCGAAGATCTGAGGTGTCACTCTCATTTGAGATGAAAACTATTTTATCATTGGGGTTAGAATACCTGCCACCGGAGGCACTATCGGGGCATATCTAATTTTTGAAAAGAGGATTGATCGTTGACCCAATTTCATGATACATTTATTTCTTTCAATGCCAATTTTAATAACAATTCCTTGTATAATTGTTGTAAAAGAGAATGTCTGAAATGATAGTTCTTGCTAAATATTTGTTAGTGTTTAGTTCATATACAACGTGTTGAGAGGTTTGTAGTGAACATTTTCTAAATTGAAATCTTTCAAATGCAGGTTGTATACCAGTCAAAAAACATTGTGTGTCTTTTATTGTTTATGTTGAGATATTTTAGATATTCAATTTAGATTTGAATTTGGTTTATCTATAGATTATGTTGTTTAGATTTGAATTTTTCGAGTCTATATGTCATACTTATTTATAGGCCTCTATTTTGATTATGAATAATAATGCAATTTTTTAGTTTCCGTAAGACACTCTTACATTGTATCAGAGCCTAATTTTCTTTTGGAGTAGATACAATATACTAAGTCTTATTTTTTCGGGTACGTTCAATCTGGAATGTACCCGGAGGTCTTCAAAAAATGAGATTTTGTCTTCAGTTGTTAATCTTTCCGTTTAGAATCTTTGTTTTCGTCTGCGTTTATATTTGAGAGTTTTGTATGCTTATCTGTCTACGATTCATCTATGAACCGTCTGTCATGTTTCTCCATAACTATGGTCCAAGTAGATTGATAGTCCCATTGATGTTAATCTATTGTGCTTTCTTAAATCTACTCGTAAAATTTTTGGAGGAGTTTGTTTCTTCCCGTGACATATTTTTCAACTAAGCCATGTATTTGTGTTATGTTAACATACACATTATATTGAGATCAATTATGATATATATTGTGTGAACTATTACATATATTGACTATGTCTGATTAGCTATATTTAACATCTTAACCGTTACACCTCCGGCTCCTAGAGTCTGTTTGGTTTGAGGAATTTGGAGGGAAATGGAGTGGACCGGAGGAAAAAAAATTACAATTATTTCGTTTGGTTCAATTTTTTTTAAAGGAGATGGGAAGGGAAGGAATAAAGGAGAGGGAATATAAAATGAACTTATTTTATTTTCCTTCAAAATTGGGAAAATTTGGATGAGAGTGAAAGATGTTTGTGTTTTTTTAATTTATAAAATTACTATTATATTCTTTAGTATTATATATTACTTTATCTGCATTTTATTATACATAAACTATATTATACGTATTTTATACTTAAAAATTAGTTATGATATTTTTAAATTTTATAATTTAATTCAATTATAAAATTTTTTTTATATAAATTAAATTAAATTAATCCCTTAAAGATTAGGTTTTAATTAATAAAATAAATTTATATTTA